AAGAAACTTTATCTCTCACCAATTAGAATATTTACTAAGAAATCACAATGTAACCATAGAAACTTTACTTGGTATATGTGTTGTGTGTGTGTGTGTGTGTGTGTGTGTGTGTGTGTGTGTGTGTGTGTGTGTGTGTGTGTGTGTGTGTGTGTGTGTGTGTGTGTGTGTGTGTGTGTGTGTGTGTGTGTGTGTGTGTGTGTGTGTCTGCTCTGTCTTCTCCATCCCCAGGGAGTCGTGGTGGATGGCTGCTTATACTGAGCCAGGATCCTCTGGAGGTTTCTTCCTGTTAAAAGGGAGTTTTCCTCTCCACTGTCGCTAAATGCTTGCTTAGAATGAGGATTGCTGTAAAGTCACTGACACTAGTCAGTGACTCGATGCAACCTGCTGGGTTCCTTATAGGAAACTTTTTTTTTCTGATTGGCTTAATGAACTGACCTGGATTGGAATGTTTATTATGTGAAGTGCCTTGAGACGACTCTTGTCGTGATTGGGCGCTATATAAATAAAATTGAATTGAATTGGATATTGGTTAGTTTATTGCTCTGTGTGGTTTACTTCTTCTGTATGTTTAGTCTAGTTTATTATTTTCCGTGTCTTTAGCATCTTTAGTCTTTTTAGTTTTTTGGCATCTTTATTTACCTTTCCTCCTTTTTCTTGGTGTTTGGCTCGCTCCTCAGTATCTTTTTCTTCTTCTATGGGTTTAATAGCAGCAGTTGCACTACTGCCACCTCCTGCATATTGATAAAAAAAACTATAATCAGCTCAGCGGCCTAGTGGTTTGAGTGTCTCCCCTGAGACTGGGAGATTGTGGGTTTGAATCCAAGGTTAGTTCAAACCAAAGACTTTCAAAAAATGGGACCAGTACCTCCCCGCTTGATGCCCAGCTTTGAGGGGTTGGACTGGGGGGTTTAACCACCAAAGGGTTCCTGAGTGTGGTTGTTTCTGCAGCTCAACGTTCCCTACGGGATGGGTCAAATGTGGAGAACTAATTTCACACACCAATGTGAGAACAAGGGGGACTTTAACTTTAATCTCTCGAACAATCCAGTAACCAACAAAAATGGATCCTCCTCAGTATGAGTTATACCTCTCTGCCTCTCTAATAGAGCAGCTGGCTCTAACCCTAACCCTAGTCCAGCCTGAAGACCCCTTTCATGTTAGTCAAGAATCTCTCCTGAAACCAGGGTGTTGTAAAAATCAGGTATGGCATCTGGGTAATTGTGTGATGTTTTCAGAGAAAATTAGCCTTCATATTGTGTAAAAGGGTCTTTGGACTTGTTTGATATGTATCTCACTGCTGCCCCCTAGTGGTAAAACATTAATACAAAACTACAATTCACAAACAAACTTAAAATGACCAGTTAAAACAACTCCAAATGCACTGGATTGGTTGTTTCAACACTGAAGAGGTCAAAGGTCATACATTACAGTAGAACCAATTAAATAAAAGGATGACATGAATAACTGTAAAGATGAAACCTTAAACTGCAGCAGCCTTGTGTTGCCAGTGGTGACTCAGCGACCTGCTGGACCTTTTTCCAGCCGAGCAGGAGATGCCAGCTGGTTGCCGTGGTGACGGGTCAGCTCAGGGAGTCTGGCTGGCTCTGAGGGACGCCTCGACTGTTTGAGGACTCTCGTCTCCCTGGAGAAGAAATGCTGGAAAGAGACCCAACAGAAGACAAAGAGGATCTGAGAAGTCTGGAAATAAATCAAAACTATAAAATAATCAACTCATTTAAATCAGAATGAAGGTTTTTGTCTTAGTTTCATCAGTTTTATTCAAAGGTTTAAAATCTAACTTTATGTTTATTTGGTCCTTTCAAAACAATGTCTGTAAAATGAAAACAATGACGTTTCACAATTCATAAACAAATGTCATGTGCTGTGTCCTTGTGGTCCCCAGCCCCTTCCCTCATGCCCCCCCCCCCCCCCCCCATTTATTTAAACATTACAAACAATGTTTAAATAAAAACACTCAAATATTTTTCATTATTGGAGCAACAGGTTTAATCTGTCTAAGTGTTCATTCGTGTGTCAGGAAACCACAAAGGCTAATGTTCTCCTCTGTTATTGTCAGCCCAACATACAAACATACAAACAAACAAATACAAGTGATGGGGTACTTTACAATAAAGGCCACTTTATTAATGTTACTTAGTGCACAATTAAGAATTAATAAATTATTAAATAAGGTATTAACAACTACTTAACATTAATGTTATTATTAAAGAGAAAATGGGTAGTTTTTACCATTATTCTCTGGAAACATGCATTAAAATGTTGTTGAAAATTAATTAAATTATGTCCAGATGTTGAAAAATATTGACGGCTTTGTAACCATAAAAATCAGGTGTAAAATACATGAGGGCGAGTCTAAGGCTGTTTCTCGAAGTCAAGGCGCCTGGCCTTGCGAGGACACGGTCCTTCCTTGGTCAAAGAAAACGGTTAAATGGAACAGACTTGCATCACGTGACCGCGGCTTCCACGGCGGTCACGTAACGTCATAGTCAACGTTATATTTTATACGTATAAGTTTCAATAGAAATATATAACGAGACTTTTACTTTTTAAATTGTGCATATGTTTATTAAATAAATATATAAGTGAGTTACTACCCGCTAGCCACCGAAGCCACAACTACTAAGCCATAGATAACCAACAATACATAACTTCTTTTGATCTAAAATAAAAACATTTTAAATTAGTTGACTTACTTTTAAACTTGAAATTTGCCCCAAAGTAGCTGCTGGCGTCTGATCCGCCATCCTTTTGAAAATACTGTTGTGTATTCTGGGTAATTTTGACCAAGGCTAGGCTACAAGACACCTCCCGTGTATCCTTGCTCAGCTAGCTAAACGGCTAACAAACGGAGAACACATGCCTCGGTAGAACATGAACATTGGAACACGTCTTGGCGGTTCCTGATGACGTATCTCTGAGGCAACCGGGGCGGGGCCATGACAAACACCCTAAGTCTCCGGGCGACGCCATGTTTTCTTCTACATGAGCCTGTGAGGACAAAATGCATTTACTGATAACAGTTACAAAACTTTCCCCATTCATAAACGCTGTTGTTTTACACATTTACTTCTTCACTTGTTGCCATGAAAGGGAGTCTGACAGGCTTGTTGTTTTGCTGGAGGTTGTGCTCGCCAAGATTTTTGACCCTAATGGCCATCCGTTGATTAAAGGCCTGTACTTGTATAGCACCTTCTTAGGGTTCTACAACCCCCCAAGGTGCTTCACAACACAATCAGTCATTCACCCCTTCACACGCTGATGGTGATGAGCTACGGTGTAGTTACAGCTGCTTTGGGGCGCACTAGCCACGTTTACATGCGCACATTTAATCAGATTGAACGCCCAATCAGATCAAAAATTCTGCATGTAAACATGTCAGTCTGAATGTTCTGGTCCGATTCAGCCCGATCGGAACTAAATTTCAATCCGATTGAGAGAGGTGGTTATGTCCGATCATCATTCCGATTGACGTGCATGTACACAGCCATTCGGATTGTTGGAGCAAATTAATGCTCACTGTGCTTGTGTGCAACAGCTAGCGAGCCTCTCCGTCATCATTTAGACTACCTGACTTTAAAAAGGACGATTTAAAATGCAGCAAAGCATAAACCTGCAGTGATTCACTGAAGAAAACGTAACTTCTATCAGCAAAATAAAGTAAAAAAAATGATTAAATGAATTAGGAAAGCAGGAAATTTTTACATTTTTCATTTCGTTTCATGGCGTTTGTCTACTTTTTTTCTGGGAAAGACGACTCTGTGCATGCTCAACCTATTTAATCTGATTGAATACTTGGTGCATACAAACTCACGGCATGGTCGGATCATTTTAGTTAGTGCGCATGTAAACAGAGATTCTGGATTTCCCATCAGCCAAATTTGAATCGGATTGGGGAAGTTTGGCGCATGTAAACGTGGCTACTGGTGAGGTAAGGTCTTACTTGAACACAAAAATACTGCTTGCTTGCAATGATGTGGGTATGCACTGCCCGCTATAGACAAAGAAAATACACACCGTCACTTTAAGTAATGCATTACTCAGCAGACCCCCACCCCACCCCACCCTGGCCCTTTGTCCTTAAGGACACTTAATAGTTAATGGGAATGTAAATGAAGGGATCCTTTGTTTATCAATGCTTACGTAACTGTATTATTGTAAAGATTTACCAAGTAAATAAGTAAACAGGTGAGTCTTAATTAGCTTGACATGAATCCTGACCCAAAGGGAATAAAAATCTGCTGGATCAGGAACATCTGGGATCAACTCCTCCTCTTCCCCAGAGTCTCGCTGTAAATGAATCAGGCTGATGAACGACAGGCAGTGTTTTGTCTGCAGCTTCCTGGACGGCGGTTTGATTCCCAGCACAACGTTTCAGTGTTTGAAGTGAACAATGAGCCAGTCTGCAGCCGTCCGTCCTCATCGGGCGCTGTTTATCATCGCACAAAGACGCCGTTTGTGCTGGCATACACAGCCCTGTCTCTCCTGCACGGGGCGAGTGAGGTGCAAGGTCAAAGGTCACCGGGTTTAACAAGGCTGTGCGGGGAGGTCAGCACATCTGCCACAAGTTTTACCTGCTCACCGATGGTGATCCCAGAAGAGATGTCTGACACTTTCAGCTTGTTGTGTGTGTGTGTGTGTGTGCGTGCGTGCGTGCGTGCGTGCGTGCGTGTGTGTGTGTGTGTGTGTGTGTGTGTGTGTGTGTGTTCATTGAGATGCACAGCCACGCTCTTCCTCTGAAACCAGCTTTGTGGAGGGGAGGTGGAACCGGGTCACAGAACCAGAACTGATCCAACTCTCCTCTTTTACAGATCAGGATTTTAATACCTGAGCTGTAAAACTCTGCAGGTTAAAGTTTTTCTCATTTAGAGCGTTTCAAATAATGTTTCTGTAGTTTTATCTAAAAGCAACAATTTTCATCGGACATCAGAGACATTTAAACACAAATGAGATACAAAAAAAAAAAAAACTGTGACACAAAAGTTTTGTTTAGTTCCTGCTCTGGTCCGAGACCAGAGATCCCGGTTCTGAGCGGCGGTCCGGTGGAGTGAGTGGGGGTGGTTCCGCCTCATTGGTCAGCGGGTTGACCGACAGGATTGCTGACCTCAGATCTGCTCCTCCCGGCTCCACCAGGCTGCTGCAGTATAAAACCTGCAGCCTGAGTCTGCGGACACACACGCTGTGCAGGAACACACACACACCAACGGTGAGTTCATCACACCCACACACACTTTTACTGTAGATTATGGGATGCTGCTGGATCCGCAGCCACGTGCTGATGAGCTTTAGGTTCTGGTCGAATTTATTGAGAACATGGTGGAGGCTTTATCCTATCAGCTGATTTACATCGATGTCATCGTAGCTTTGTTCCACACGTATGATGTCCCGCATCATGTGTCTGTTCGTATCACATCTGTATGACATGTCTTTTATAGACACGAAGGTTTTTACACGTTCATCCCTGGAGCTGAAAACATCTGTCAGGAGACGATGAGCGAACTGGAAAACGCCATGGCGACCATCATCGCCGTGTTCCAGAAGTACTCCGAGCGAGAAGGGGACAAACACAAGTTGAAGAAGAGCGAGCTGAAGGATCTGCTTCATGACGAGCTGCCAGACCTGATGGCGGTGAGAGGGTTGGGGTCAGAGGTCATGATGAGAACGGTGGCTCTCCTATAAACCTGTGTGTCTCTGCAGCATGTGAAGGACCAGTCCACCCTGGACAGCCTGATGGAGAGCCTGGACACAGACGGAGACTCTGAGTGCAACTTCCAGGAGTTCATGGCATTCGTCTCCGTGGTTACCGCCTGTTGCCATGAGTTCTTTGTACATGAGGACGAATGAGGACACGGAGACAAAAGAGAGCAGAAACTGTGGAGACGTTAGACTAGTCCAGACCAGAGGTAGCCTCACCTAGAACTAGTTTAAATCTGGCTAATCTGGTTTAAACTCAGTTATTCCAGTGCTTTAGAAGCTTTACTCCTTACATTTGATGTTGGTATTAAAGACTAACAAGTTTTATTTTGTCCAGTTTCTGATTTTAAGAATTTCTGGAAATTTTAAAGAATAAAAGCATTTCGGACAATTTGTATAAAAGGATACATTTTCTAAAATGTCTGATTTTGGTTTAAAAATATCAGAAAATTTAACAAAAAGCTAATTTATTTAAAAATTGGTGGTCAGAAGGTTTGTTTGTTTTTATTTTGGTGGGTGTGGTTGATTAAATTCCAATTTGAAACATGTAGGATAAAAGAATCAAGCAACATATTTTGCTCTTAAATAATGTTATTTTATCATTTCCAGCTAATCTGACATCTGATGTTTCTATTTAATTTAATAGATTTAAACGTAGTTTTGTTCAAATGAACACAATTTGGTTTAAAGTTTCGGTTATTTGATGTTTTCTTGTTTAAAATGTTTAGCAAACTATTTAATTTCTCATGTTAATTTAGAAACTTGCATTTTCACAATGAAGAAGTTTAAGCAGAAGATTTTTCTAACTTTATTTTGTAGTTTTAGTTTTGTTTACTGCAGGTCATTTTTTTTGTTTGCTTGTTTTAGTTAAAAAAAATCTGAAAATAAAAATGTGGATGAAAACAGACGAGTTTAAATGTTTGTCTGAATATTGGTGAAATTAAATATAATAAAACAATAACAAATTGTGATTTTTTTAAATCATTTTGGTTTGTTTGCTTTTCTAATTTTAAACCTAAACAGAATAAATTTTGCCTTGTTTCAAATTCTTAGTAGATCGATACTGACTTTTTACATGATTCGGGAATCGTTTCATGTTTTTTGTTTTGTAAGAATATTAATTTTTAAAAATACAGATAATTAATTAATGCAATGCATGAAAAAATAGTTGTAATACCTCCTGACAAAATTTGTAAAACATGTATGAAGTTTAAAAAAATACTTTTAAGCAATCTTAATTGGCATTAAAATGTATATTTTATTTAAATATGTAAGTATTTATTTATTATTTATTTATTTGTTTATTATTTATTTATTATTTAGGGAAACATGAAGAAATGTATTATTATTATTATTATTATTATTATTATTATTATTATTATTATTATTATTATTGTTATTATTATTAGGGATGCAACGATACCACTTTTTTCCAAACCGATACGATACCGATACTTGGATCTGAGTACTCGCCGATACTGATTACAGATACCGATACTTCTACCACAAAAAAATGCAATGAATTGGAATACAGGTTTAATTTTCTTCTCTGTTTTCAACAGGAAAAGACTATGAGGTTGATAAAAAGTAAAAGATGTTAATAAAAATGATCACAAAACTAAAACATTGAGTGAACAGAAATGACAGGTTACAGTGAAGTCACTTTCAAGCAACTGCATTGGTATCAGTTACTGGTATCTGTTAACTTTAACCGATACCGATATTGGTATCGGTATCTGTGTCGGCACCTATACCGATACCAGTATCAGTATTGGTGCATCCCTAATTATTATTATTATTATTATTATTACTATTATTATTATATGAAAGGAGGAGTAGAAGAAGTCAAAAGTTTCTTCCCTTGATATATTTTGATGTGATTATCTCAAATTTGGAAAAAAAATTGGACATTTTCAAGCCTTTTTAAAATAGAAGACAGGAATACATACATCAAATATTAAATTAAATTAAATTAAAAACTAAAATAAGTTTTTGATATCAATGGTTAGAATGTCTCTTGGAATTGTCAAACTTGAATATCTGACTCAAGAATCTATTTAGGAGATGCTTGAAATGGACTGTGTCACCACGGGTTCTTAAAGGTTACAATCTAAAATGCAGTCATCAATTTTTATATTTCTGCACTATTTTTTTCATAAATTATTAGACTTTATGCCTACATGTATTTGGTTGCCCCATGGCTGGATTTTGTATTATTATTATTATTATTATTGTTATTATTGTTATTATTATTATTGTTATTATTATTATTATTATTATTATTATTATTATTATTATTATTATTATTATTATTATTATTATTATTATATTTTCTTTCATTTTTTATCAAAGTTTCAGATTTGTCTTTTTGCTCATTGACTGTGTTATCCTGTCTTTATTTGTTGTAAGGTAAGAGGACCCGCTCATCTCAAGCGGTTTCATCCTCTGAAAATAAAATAAATAAATAAATATTTGGAAGATTGCAGGACAAAACCCAAGTGGAGCTACGGCACCCCCTGCTGGACATTTTAGGGATTTGACATGAAAATGCACATAGGCCTAAATATGAATTATGAAGGCAAATGGAGTAGCCCCTGGCTGGCCACATTTAGCTCCACCCCGATCTCCGGGAGACAGTCAGGGGTAGTTGGACAAATGGGCACAGGATCATGTCTAAGTTTTAATAAACTGGGTAGAAATGGTGTAAACAAACATTTACCACAATGAAAATAGGGCAAGAAAGTCAAAACAATACAGTAAGTTTAAAACCTGAAAAAGAGACGTTTTAATTGTAAAATGTGTGAAAACGTTCTGAACAATTCTTCAAAAGCAGCAGCCTTTACGCTGCACGCAATCATCCTTCAGGAGGAGAAACAAACATCAGAAGAGAAGGTTAATGAGCAAGTTGGGATTAAAGCACCACATCCTGGGAGAAGCATCACAGCTGCACATTTTCAGACATCATGTGGGTGGGGTCAGCTCTCTCATTGGCTGTTGGGGGACCAGATATGAACCCTGGGGACTAACGCCACACCCATCTGTTTGACTGTCCTCCAGCACACTTTCTGCCGTTTCTTCTTCCTAAAGATCAGAAGAGCTGCAGCCTGGGAACTTGTAAGTTTTGTCTTCTTATCACTTCATTTTCTTTTATTCAGTAATTTATTTAGCTTTCTGCTGCAAGAAGTTAAATGTTTATGAAGCAATAGTTATATTAGCATGTGGGTTCATCTTGTACACAAAGAAACATAAAGTCAAGAGTTACAAGGATGTAAAATTATAAACTGTAATAATATAGTTTACTAAAATAAAAGCTGATTTCAGGCACATGTGTTGGTGTTTTTGTCCTGATGTTCTGCAGCTGTGACGGAGTTTCGTGAAGCGTGACTCTCATTGTGTCCAACAAAACAATCATGTGTCATTCCCTCCAGTCTGAGACAAAAGCTCAATCTCAGAACTCCTGCAAAAAAAAAAAACAACAAAAAAAAAACAGGATTGTTCTGCAGCTTTTGGCACAAATAAGACTTTTGCAAGAAATTGACTTTTGGTTTCTTTTAGGCAGCTCTGATAGAGACCAGCCGCAGGAATCAGCCAAACGACTGAAACATTCCTCTTTGTTTTTGTCTGATTTTGTTAGAGAAGAAATCCTTACGACTTTTCCTCTTGGTCTCTGACAGATTAAATTAGGCTGAAGTCAACATGGACGTTTTCACTACCCCATCTCCTGCAACTCAAACAGCAACAGAAACCTTCCCAACATTTTCCGACCTGGTGACGAGGATTGGGAAGAAAGGTGAGTTCTTGTTCCTCACAGAGACGTGGCTTCTTTAAAGGAACATTTCAGTAAGGCGACCCAAAACCACATTAATCCGTTTAAAGGAGTGAAATACTGTACAAAAATAAAATTTAAGAATTATTTCTAATTATAATCGTTCACTCTGAGATGTTCATGCAGGTTGAACATGAAAATAGTCTCCTACACATATCTGCTGCATTAGCTTGTGATAGAAAATAGACGGTGAAACTCTAGGATTAGAAAATCCTGACGGATCTACGTCACACTGTCACTTAACATTCATGGACTCACCCATCTTGACTCTCAATGGGGAATACTGTTGATGGTTTAGCGTTCAGGAAACAGCAGAAAATGTTTTGGCTAGTAGAAGCTAACCATTAGCATTAGCAACTCCACAACACAGTAGAACTTCCTCAGGTTTTTGTCATTTGTGGAGATAAAACATCAACGTTGCAAAGTAAACAGTCAGTGGTCGAGCTGCAAGCCAATTGGAGGAGAGATATCCAAATATCAGAAAATAAGACTCCAAAACCTGCCGTCTGAAGCTACTTTCTTCTCTAGCTGACTTCTACTTCCTAATTCAGGTGCACCGGAGCTTCCAACCCTCCACCCCTACCCCCGAGAACAATGTACAAGGTATAAATAAAGGAGACAATGCGTATTTTTCCTGGTGAAAGGGGGCAGTAGATACCTAAGTCATTGCAAGGAAGCAGTATTTTTGTGTTGAAGTAAGACCTTACAAACGGACGCCCATTAGGGTCAAAAAGCCCTAGGGAGTGCAAACTTTAGCAAAATGAAAAGCACATCAGACTCCCTTTCTTCACTGACAACAAGTGAAGAGGTAAATGTCTAAAACAACAACATTTAAGAACGACAAAAGTTTTGTAACCATTTGTTACAAATCAGTAAATGCATTTTGTCCTCATGAGCTCCCGTAAAAGGAAACATGGTTTCTCAACATCAAGGCGCCTTGCTTACGAGGACACTGTCCTTCCTTGGTCAAAGAAAACGGTTAAATGGAACAGACTTTCATCACGTGATCGTGGTTTCCACGGCGGTCACGTAACGTCACGTGACACGGGAGATAACGTTATATTTTATACGCGTAAGCTTCAATACAAATATATAACGAGCCTTTTAACTTTTTAAATTGTGTATATATTAGTTAAATTAAAAATATAAGTGAGTTACTACCCGCTAGCCACCGAAGCTGCAACTAATAAGCAACTAACCAACCATAGATAACTTCTTTGGTTCTAAAAAAAAACATTTTAAATTAACTGACTTACTTTTAAACTTGAAATTTGCCCCAAAGTAGCTGCCGGCTTCTGATCCGCCGTCCTTTTGAAAATACCGCAGAGTATTCTGGGTAATTTTTGACCAAGGCTAGGCTACAAGACACCTCCTGTGTATCCTTGCTCGGCTAGCTAAATGGCCAACAAACGGAGAATACATGCCTCGGTAGCACGTGAATATTGGAACACGTCTTGGCGGCTCCTGATGACGTATCTCCTAGGCAACCGAGGCGGGGCCAAGACATCAAGGCGAGGTTCCTTGGCAATGAGAAACACCATTAGACCCGCTCCCATGTATTTTAGACCAGATTTTTATGGTTATATATTACAAAGCCACCAATATTTTTCAACAACTGGGCATCATTTCATTCATTTCAGCAACATTTTGATGGATATTTCCAGAAATTAATGGTAAAAACTACACATTGTCTCTTTAAACAACACCGTCTATTTCCAGTGAAATGATCACATTTGTGTTACTGCTTACATTTATTAGAAGGAAGATCAAACTGATCAGTTGCTACATGTGTCCCAAAAACTATGACTTGATTTTATTGATTAATTAAAAAAAATTAAAGAAAAATGAACATCCAACATCATTTTCATATAGAAATTCCCCAACAGGTTCACTAACAACAAGGAAATGTGACTCTGAAAGCTAAAGCTAGTGTTATTTTTGAGCAAAATAAAAATATTTTTAATGCAGAAAATGAAACTAACAAATAAAATCAGTATCGGAAAATACTTTTTCTTTTTACAGAATTTCAGTTTATTAATCATCTTTTTCATTTTTAATACCTTCCGACTGTAATTATTTGTTTTCATGAAAAATCTGAGCACCTTTAATTTGAAAGGTTTGAAAAGTGTTTCATTTGAAATCAACTTTTTAAGCTAACCACTCTTATTTTATGCTAAAATAATTTATGTTTTTTTTCTTTTAATAATTGATTTGATGAATTCTCGATAAGCAAAACATTGTTTGTGTAGCACAAATACATTTTTTGTTCTAGTTTCTCTTATTTTCCGGTTCACCTTAAGCTTAGTATTTCTGGTTATTGAGCAAAAATGTCAGAAAATGTCTTAGATATTATAAAATGTCACTTCAGCCAACTTTGTTTCAGTTAAATATGAAACTTGAGGACATGTTTTCCACTTCTTGGTGGTGGATGTAGCCAGACTTTGGGATGCAGATAAACGGTCTGCAGGATTTCATGAAAGAACCTAAGTTGTTGCTGAACAGTTGAAGTTGTGTGTGTTTTGCAGCAGGGAGTGTCTTATCAGTGTGGCACCTCAGGGAAGAGTGTTGCTGTGGAGATAAGAGTGGAAAAGCTGAAACAGCTGGTTTCCACAGCAGAGCCGGACGGGACCAATAAGAGCTAAAGGCAGCTCTGTCCCTGAGAAATTAACTTTATACAAAATAAAACCAGTTCATGTGTAACACAACAACACAGAACACCTGCAACTTTCTACCAAATTTTTAAAAACTATGGGGCCACGATTTTGCCAAAGTTGAAGAACAATTTGTAAAAGAAGAAAATAAAACATTTTAAATATAGCTGAATATTTTTATTGTAATGATTTAAATTACATGTATTTTAATAAGCCATAAGGCATGGGATTCCATAGGAAATATGAAATCCACCTTACGGATCTGTGAGATTATTTAAACCAGAATATTGGATCTTTTTATTGCAGGGATTAGATAACAGCTTCGTATTCACTCAGAGACAACAGAAACAGTTGTCCAATATTTATGTGTCGATGGTAGATACATTTACATGGGCACAAGTAGTCAGAATGAACACCCTGTCAGATTCTTCATGTAAACATGTCAATCAGACAATTCTGATCTGATACGGCCCGATCGGAACGAAATTTCTTTCTGACTGAGAGAGGTGGTTTTCATCCTATCATCATTCCGATTGATGTCCATGTACACACTCATTCGGATTGTTGGAGTAAAATAATACCCAAGTGTGCAACTTCAGCGTGACGTCTTTCCGCTTTTGCAGACGCTCAGGACAAGTCTGAAGAGCTGGAGGACGGTGTGAGCGGGTGATCATTAGTACGTTATCCTGCTCCTGTGGCGGAGGAGCAGTAGTGTTACGTACCGCTGAGCCTGTAGCTTGGTTAAAGCCATCAGTAAACACAAAAGCATGCAGGTGACAATGTGAAGAAGGTCCATAACGGGGGGAAACATAAGGCAATGGATAAAGCTAGAGAATAAGAAAATAAAATGTGAGGAAAAAGATGATATTTGTTTATGGGTAACAACTCTGTGCATGCTAAACCTACTTAATTCCATTGAATACTTGGTACTTGTATACTCACAGCATGATTGGATCATTTCAGTTAGTGTGAATGCAGATATCGCCCGTAGCGGTGCCACAAAAAAAGAAAAACGATAAGACGACCGGATTTGCAGCTCCATGAGTTCAGTTCGGTGGTTCAGCAGCGGCAACCCAATCCCCCCCCCCAACCCCCCCCCCCCCCAACCCCCCCCCAGCCAATGCTTGCTGCTAGCACCGTAACGCTTTTATAACCGGGGAAATACCGGATTTGTCACATCTAATGCTTTTCCTCCCCGCCGCTGACATTTTCTTCTTTTAGACATAAGTACCACATGTTCCTGATTGGTTCTTCTGTCCATCCCTCCCACCGTTCCCGTTTTTGGATTTTCTTTACAGTCACTTTTTGTTGTCGTCTTTCATTCGTCAAAAAAATGTTGATCAATATTCATCATGATTTTGTTTTTATAGAAGTTTCTTTTTTAGTGTCGAGTTCATCTGCAAAAATTCACTCATCACGAAAACAAAGACAATGAAAATATTTCGTAAACGAAAATAACACAGTGTGTGTAATGAGTGTAATTAAGACAAACCCCAGTCTTTTCTATTTCACAGACATCTACAGCAGCACTGAAGATTTAGCAGCTCTTATTGGAGGTGAGAACTAAACATTTGTCTGTTGTCTCATTGTGTTTGTGTTCTCTAAAGAACCATAATTTCACTTGTCTACCAACACACAGCCTAAAAGACCAGCGTTCATTCTGTGTTGCTTTTTCAATTCCATCTTGTTGGTTCTTATGTGTACATAGAGTAGTAAAAGTTTAGTTTTTTCCTTTCTAGCTCGGTGTATGTATAAAAACAAACAAACAAAAAAAGACGTTACGTGCATATGTTCTTTTTCTTTGGAGTTACTTCTGTATGGCAATCTGAAGTGCTAAGAAAGAGCAGAGAGTGGGAGGAGTCTGCCGAGGCACAGCAGAGAGGGACGAGGAGCCTTTCCTTTTAAAGAGCAAGTTCACTGAGAAACTGTTTTTTATATCTTTTAATTATCTACAGGTTTTTGACTGATCTTTTAATTGCTTTTAAATGTTTTTACTGTTTTAAGTCATTTTATGTCACTTTTTTGTTGTGCAGTGCTTTATGTTTATGTTTAAGTTTATTTATTCAGCAGACACTTTTATTCAAAGCGACTTACAATTTCAAACCTATAGGGCATGTTGTGATCTGTGGGGGAAACCCTCGCATGCATGGGGAGAACACCCAACTCCACGCAGAAAGGCTGCAGCCGAGTTTCGAACCTGCAACCTTTGTGCTACGAGGCAACAGTGCTAACCACTGCGCCACCATGCAGCCCTGAGCTTTATTTGGCTCATGGGCCATGTGAAGGCGCTCTACAAATAAAGTAGATTCACTGATATGTGTTTATTTTAAAACACTGCAAGTTTAACATGCATGCTGAACATAAAACTAGTCTTCTACCCCTATTCCCTGCATTTACCACCAAAATAAAACAGGAAAATCTCACACGGATCTACACCAGTCTTTGAATTAGCACTCGCCCCTTTTGGCTAGCAACTGGGAACTCTGTATTGATTTTTCCAGCTAAGAGAACATGTCTCAGTTTTCAGACGCTATTTATTAGCATTAGCAACTCCACAACATGGCGGAACTCCTTCGGGCTTGTGTTATTCGTAAAGATAACACATCCAAGATTACAGAGCAAGCGGAGGCAGTGAAAGAGTTTTGTTGCTGTTAGCCAATCAGAGGCAAAATGTCTGAATATCATGAATAATAATGAGTACGACCCCAAATCCTGCTACTTTCTAACTTCTGCTTCTTAAAACAGGAGCACCAGAGCTTTTCTCCCCACATAGGTTTATTTATTTGTAAGGCATTAATTTACACAAGAGACAACTGCATATCTTTAAAAAAACAGTGAATGACAGCTGTACCGTACTGATATTCTCCCCCCCCCCCCCCCCCCCCCCCCCCCCTCCAGGAATCATCACCGGGGTGCTGCTGGTCTTTCTCTGCATTATCACAGTTCTGCTCTGGTGTCTGTCTAGACAGAAAGGCTCATATGTGACCAATGAGACAGATGACGATGATGACGTTGACAACAACGATGACGAGTCTGTTGGTTCTGACGTGGCGCTCCAAGCTAAAGAACCTCTGAATGCCAACAAAGAGGACTGAATCCTGCAGATGGAGGACTTTTGTCAACGTCTGAAACTAGAAAAATGTGGAAAAGCTACATTTTTAAGTTGTTGTTGTGGGGGAGGGGCTGTTTTCCATTGTGTCTGTTTGATTTGCAAAAAGAATGTAGAATAGGAGGTTCTTTGTTGACATCTTTCTTCATCTTTGTGGCTGGGTGGAAAAAACAAGCTGCTCTCAGTATGCGACATACACTTTTAAGAGAGTTTATGGACAAAATCCCAGATATTTAAACACTTCAACGTCTAAAGACAAGAGGGGGTTTAGACAGAAGCCTAAAATCTGTATTGAAGAGAAAATTAACGTTTTTAAAGCCCATATGAGTTCTGGGATGACGGAAAACGTCTGTCCGATTCACCAGAGTTTTTTTTTTTTTTTTTACAAATCTGCTAGGGAGACATTTATTCCTAATCAACAGAAAGCCCTGGAGCCTTCACCCATGAAACATTAAAGACTTCCAAACATCTGGAAACCTACAAATATTTTGTTTTGAGAAAAATTGAGCAGAAAGCGGTGGTCATGCTAGTAGCAGCAGTTAGCTTCTACGAGCCGAGCCACAGCATTGTTTATATCACCTGTGGGTGATGACCAAAGAAAATGGATAAATCCCAACAACGACCGCAAAGCCGGTAAGTCTTCCTCAGTCAGTGTCCTTATTTATTTCTTTATTATTACTATAAAGACCACGCGGGTTGAGACAACTGAATCAGAATCGGAAAACAACAAGACTCCTTCTTTGGTGTGTTCTTACTGTGTTTGGTTTCTAATTCCATTTTTGGTTCTTTTTAAAACAAAGGAAAGGTTGTTTTTTTTTTTTTACCTTGCTGGCGTACGTTTCGTTTGGCGACTGCAAAACATCCTCAGAGCTGACGCTGATGGTGGCGTAGGAACTGACGCCACCATCAGCGTCAGCAGCTCTGAGGATGTTTTGCAGTCGGCAAACGAAACGTATGTCATAGTGATGTGTCGGTAGCGAACGAACCGGCTCTAAGGGCCGGCTCTTTGAAGTGAACGGCGGGAGCCGGCTCCTCACTGGGAGCCGTCACCCCCCCCCCCCCCCCCTGCCTTGGTGAAAGCTACAGGCGATTGGTCAACATGTGTAACTGTGTGTCCAGACTGTCCACACACAGAGCAGTAGGGGCGGGGAAGAGGGAGGATCATACTCAGACAGACACACAGCAGAGCACATGTGGGAGGAGGGAGACGAGAGGGGATGAGGAGGAGAAAAAAGGCGAGCGAGAGGGAGGAGAGTGCGAGGAAGACGGTGAGAAAATGAGCGCCAGCAGTCGGAAAGTGGAGATTTCTTAAAGTGTTCAGTTATTAAATCCATAGAAATGATAAATATTTGATATATTGCTTTTTTTACATTAGTAAATTATTTTACACATAGTTTAGCATTGTTTTGGTTATAAATGTACTCTACGCAACAGAAAACCTGAGGAGCCACTTGGGAGCCGAAAGAGCCGGCTCTTTTTGGTGAGCTGAGCCAAAAGAACCGGCTCTCTAAAAAGAGCCGGAATTCCCATCACTAGTACGTCAGCAAGGTGAAGAAAAACCTTTCCTGTGTTTTAAAAAGAACCAAAAATGGAACAAGACTCCTTGATATTTAAAAATAGACGAAGAAGAATGTTTTTAAACCATCTTCTCTAATTAACAAATACGTAGTCACAAGGACTTACCACGAACTAAACGAGCCTCACAAACTGCCCGTTGCTGCAGGAGTGCGGGCTTCCTGCAGATAGTCCAGGTTGCTTCCTGTCATCTCTTTCGTATTTCGCGAAGAAATTCCAATAAAAATTTTATCAAGCTTCCCATGGTCCGAACTAACAACCACACAGCAAGAATGATCCACCTGCTTCACTAAATCCTCCTCCAAACACGCTAAACAGCCGAATTATTTGCAAAATGCATTGTTTCTTACCACACGCTACCGTGATGCAACGTGAGAAACACGTCACAAAAGATCCTCCTATAGAAGCCATTATCATCACGTTGTCAGCTGTTTTATGTATTATAGATAACCCAGATATACGATGAACATTTATTCTAAATCAACAGAAGGTTTATTAGTTCATTAGTTTTAACATTTGGTGTATTTTTATATTTAAAAGTATGACATCATTTTTAACACATTTAATTCTGATTCAACATAATTAAAGTTCAAAAACGTTTCTGATGCATTTTGCTGCTCTTAAAAACCTGAAATTCCTACATGAATTAAGTGCTTTAAGGCTTCATTTAAAACACGACAACAATTGTTCTGCTGGTGAGTTTCAGGATTTAGGAAGTCAGGCTGAAATGTAAAAAAGCTAGTTGTTTATTTTTTTTTACTTTAAAATTTAAAAAGCCTTTACCAGATGAGGTTGATGCTGAAACTCTGGATTCTGGTGAATTTCTACCTGATTTGTTGACATTTTTCAGACTGATGAAAAACAGATTCCACTCAGCCTTTCGTTTTGGAAAGATGCTCTGTTCAAACTAGGGGTGGGAATCTAACGTGTTCATTAAGAATAATTAATTAGAAAAAAATTATGCATTTATAAAAATGAACGATTTGAACCCGATGGCCCCCCAGTTGGGGGACACTGAAATTTAGCAACTAAAAACATTCCCTAAATATCAATAAACATCAGCAAGTTGCACCTCTAAAATCATCAGACCTGAGTTTTCACAGCATCTGTCTGCATTCCTTCGTGGGAGTTTTAGTTGCTTGCCGCTCAAGGCTGCCAGGGCATCAGATTCGGATAACAAGAATTTGTTTGGGTCAGGCTGAGATAATTTTCCTCTCTGCCTTCGGTCTTTAAACTGATCATTCCAGCCCTTCAGTGAAGCCAATTTTGGGTTTTTAAACTTGTCCATACCGTCCGGTGACTCTCTCCGAGATGACATCCATTTTGCGCACTAATACCGGTATCGCAGCTAGAACATCGTCCAGCTTACGATTCACCTCGAGTTTTTGCCGCATTTCTGTCTCCAACGCTGCTAAAAATCTGATTTTACACACATTCTATCTTCCCATTTTGACGGTAAGGTCCTATTGATTAAATATGTATCTCACAGCGATGGAAGCCAGAGCAATAAAAACAGAAATCCTTTTCTCCCAGCAGATCTCCAAAATGTTGATGATGTCTCACCTTGAAAAGTTTCTTTTATCCAGACTTTCTTATCCCACTAATAGCCCCACCTCATGTGTCACACAGTTTAGATGGAAAAATCCATTCAATCACAGGCTCACTACTCAAACATCCAGTAGGACTTCTCTCTTTCCTGGTGTGTGTGTGTGCGTGTGTGTGTGTGTGTGTGTGTGTGTGTGTGTGTGTGTGTGTGTGTGTGTGTGTGTGTGTGTGTGTGTGTGTGTGTGTGTGTGTGTGTGTGTGTGTGTGTGTGTGTGTGTGTGTGCGTGCGTGCGTCAAATGAATGAGTCTCGTTGGCTGATTGAGCTGTCAATCTACTTTGTGGAGTACCGCTTCATTCTATTGGCCCTAACGATCCAAAAGAGGTGTCAATCATCTGAACTGAGTCACAGGGGTAGAAGGCTGCGTGGAGATGCTTCTGGAATAGCTCCAGCCATTCCAGCAGTGTTTTTTTACTCACACATCACTTAAAAAACAACTTCTGTTTTCTATGAAAATACAATTTAAAGGTATTTTTTAGAAATAAAAAAGTTTGAGATTACAATATTAACGTACCTGTTTAATATTTGATTCTCTGCCTCGTTGTTTTGAATTAAAAAAAATGTTTTTGGTGCAAATTTTCTCGACCGATTAAAATGGGATTCATTCAAATTAATGAATTACAAACCTTTAATTAATTAGATAATTTATTTTAATCGAGTCCCATCCCTTCAGCTGCTGTTTATATAAGTAAAAATGTTCTGGCTTTCTCTCTACTTAGACTTACAATGTTGGAAACGATAAATTAAAAGCCCTAGTCATTTCTGAAGTGATGTGTTTTATTTTGAACAAATCTACATGAGGTGCTGATGAGTTGTATCCTGTTTAGCTCTCTGAAGGCTGTAGTAACAGCATGTCTCCACCAGAGGGCAGGAAAAATCCTTACTCTCTAAAGACAGATTCTAAAGGACTGATTTCTTGTGTTTGCATCCTTAATCAGGGCAAAAGTGTGTACCGATTTCAATCCAAAGCAACGTTTTTCTCCCCCATTCAGACAGAATAAAACAAGTGTTAGTTTTGAAAAATGACAATTCATAATTTTGAGACATACCCAAGGAAGAAAAAGAAGAAGCGAACAATCTCTTAAAGCGCCTCACAAGCTCAAGAAATGAAAAATATATTCATGATATGAAAAAAATCATGAAAATGAGAAAATTTCTAAACTGTGATTAAAAAACTGTGAGGAGAGGGAAAGAGAAAATGAATAGGACAGAGGCAATCAATGGATCCCAGGAAAGGCAGAATTGGTATAAAGAGCAGAATAAGAAGAAGGTGATGATGAAGGTCACGACAAAACCAGCTTGAACAGGTGAGTTTCAGCTACTTTATAAAGGAGACCACTGAGTCCACTGATCTCAGGCTCAGGGGGAGAGAGGTCCAGAGTCTGGGGGCCACAGCAGCAAATGACCTGTCACCTTTGGTCTTTAGCCTGGTGCTGCACAACCAGTAGGCTTTGATCACTGGACCTCAGGGACCTGCTGGGGGTGTAGGGACTAAGAAGATCACCAATGTAAGATGGTGCTTGTCCATGTAAGGCCCTATAGACCAGAACCAGGATCTTGAAATGAACCCTGAAGTTGACTGGCAGCCAGTGAAGCTGGAGGAGAAGCGGGGTGATGTGGGTGTATTTGGAGGACTTGGTCAGAAGCCGAGCACAGGCATTCTGAACCACCTGTAGACGGTTCAGGCAGGTTCTGTTCAGACACGTGAAAAGAGAGTTACAGTAGTCTAAGCGTGAGGAGATGAAGGTGTGGAGAACTGTCTCAAGTTCAGAGCGGGACAGAATGGGACTCAGCTTAGCAACGTTCCTGAGATGGAAGAAGGAAGAGTGAACAAGAGAACTGACATGAGAATCCAGGGTGAGAGCTGGGTCAAAGGTCACACCAAGATGCCTGACAGAAGGTTTGGTGTGAGAAGCAAGCTGACCAACAGAGTCTGACTTTGGGAACCAGCTTGTCTTGAGCACAGATGAGGATCTCAGTCTTATCTTCATTCAGCTGTAGAAAGCTCCCAGCCATCCAGGTTTTGATAGAGTCTAAACAGGTGTGTAACAGCTGCAGCTTAGACCTCTCATGGGGCTTAAAGGAGATGTACAGTTGGATGACATCTGCATAAAGATGGTAGGAGATTCCTTTGAAGGAGCTCAGGATGTGCTGCAGAGGAAGCAGATAGAGGAGGAAGATTAGAGGCCCCAGCACAGAACCTTGTGGGACACCACGGGTGAGGAAGGTGGGGGAAGTTCTAAACTTGGAGATGACCACAGAGAAGGAGCGCCCAGACAGATATGAGGAGAACCACT